TAATTTTGAATATTTTATCAACTCAAAGGTAAATTCTGTTTCTATGGAAATTAAAAGTTTAAATTAAAGTTATAAACAATAAATTTACGAAGAAAATGTTTCATTCAAAGTTATATTACAACCAAATATTAAGTTTTATAGCAGCCGTGGCGCAATGGTAACAAACTAGCCTCAGAAACAAAGGATCCGTGGTTTAAACCCTACCTCTGGGCGTGAATTTCCGATTAAATGCTCATCCGCGGTGCTCTGTGATAAGACCTTAAAGACTTCATAGGGCAACTTAATAAAGTTAAAAAAAAAAAAGAAAAGAATATATATATATATATATATATATATTTTTATATAATATATATATATATATATATTTAAATTTATATATATAATATATATATATATATTATATATACATATATATATATATATATATATATATATATATATATATATATATATATATATATATATATATATATATATATATATATATACATATGTATATATATATATATATATATATATATATATATATATATATATATATATATATATATATATATATATATATATATATGTATATATATATATATATAAATTTATAATTACTCTATTCTTTTAAGAAAACTTAGAGTACTGAATGTTTACCAATTAAATATCTATAATATTCTTTTATTCATGTTGAGATTAAAATATCATATGCTACCTAATATTTTTGAAGACCTTTTTTTTATTATAGATCATAAATATCATACAAAGCATTCATTGCTTAATTATTAGGTACCAAAAACTTTGTTAAAACAATCTGAATTCTCAATAATTTACTGGGGGCCACATTTGTGGAACTCATTTCTCCTAAATAATAGTAAAACTACAGCTTCAATCCAAAGTTTTAAAAGTATCTTAAAAAAAAAGTTACTTGATTATGACGTATCTCAAATATTATTTTATTTCTAATTTTTATTTTGTCCTCTCTTATTTTTATTTTGTTAACTTTTCTTTTTGTTTAAAAAGCGGCATCACACTTTATATCATTATATATCTTTATATTTGTATTGTATTTGGGAAAAAAAAAAAAAAAAAAAAAGTATTAAATATTACTTTACTGAGATTGTAATATATATAAACATGTGTATGTGTATATGTGTATGTGCATGTGTATATATGTATATGTATGTATGTATGTGTACGTGTATGTATGTGTATGTGTGTATAAGTATATATATATTTTCTTATATGATGGGTAATTTTTTTTTTTTTTTTTTGGTTTGATCTGTAAATGATACAAAGGGGCTGGATGATAAGGCTTTTGTCTTCTGCCTGCTCCTGTCATATCTTAACTCAAAATGTATATATTGTAAATAATTTGTTATAAATATGACGAAAATAGTTGTAAAAAAAAAAAAAAAAAAAAGAACATTGAGCACTCTATTTTGTAGAACACATTTTTTAAAACTGTTTATATATATATATATATATATATATATATATATATATATATATATATATATATATATATATATATATATATATATATATATATATATTCTTATATAATGGATTATTTTTTTGTATATTATGTAAATGATACAACGGGGATGATAAGACTTTTGTCTTCTGTCTGCGCCTGTCATCTCTTAACTCAAACAGAATATATTGTAAATAATTTATTATTAATATGACAAAAAAAGTATATAAAATATAATGATATGAAAAACATTCTGTAAAAAAAAAAAACATACTGTAAAAACATTCTGTAAAAAAACATTCTGTAAAAAAAAAAAAAATAATAATAATAATAAATTAACCGAAACAAAAGGACAGATCATTGAATAAGATAATGCCTTCCAAAATTATTTGTAATCGGAAACAACTCATTAATTGTAAAAATGCTCCAAAAAATTATAAAAAAAAAAAGTTGTGAAAATGTTTTTTTTTTTTTTTAAAGTGTATACGTTGAGCTATTTCGATAGAGGAAATTCAGTTTTAGCTCAAAAATTTATTTTGGAGCTCGAAATTGATTTCCTCTATCGGAAACGCTTTTTGAAATCCATGAACGAAAACTTAGTTCGTGGATTTCAAAAAGTCCTAATATAAAAGTATATAATAAATAACAAACATTTGATTTACTGTTTTTAAGACTTTTGATGTCTACAGGTGTAATAATGAAGTGCATTAGTATGTTCCGTTTGGTCGCTTAGCATGGTCTCGTTATGTTTTTGTTCACTTTCAAATCGGGTGAATAGAAAGCTAAACACGCTCACTTTTTGCGCTTATGGGCTAGCACATCAGAGCCAGACGTAAGACCTACAGAATGGATTTCAATTAATTGAATGTCCGTTTTGTCGTTGTGGTATACAGTGGAAAAAGTTGGGGCTTACCAACCACAAAGAATAAATTTTTTTCTTTATGCGACAAAAAGATTGCATAAAGTGACCAACGGAGCCGTCCAGTTACGTAGACTTGGGAGATACGAAAATAAAAATAGTTTGGAGATGATGTCATTTAGGTAAAAAAAACATATATATATATATATATATATTTTTGTTATTATTATTATTTTTTTTTTGTTTTTAATTTTAGATGCTCCAAGAAGACCTAACGGTCCCCGACGGGCATTTGTTTTTAAAAGTTACGATCTAAATGTATTTTAAATGTCTTTTAAACGTCTTTTAAACATTAATGTTTAAAAGACATTTAAAAGACATTTAAAACACATTTAGAACGTAACTTATAAAAACAAATGCCCGTCGGGTCTTGTAACAGAGCACCGTGGAAGTGCATTTAACCAAGAAGTTCATGCCTATTTCATTACCGTGACGTGAAAATATGTCCAGACCTCGTTTCGAACCAAGATCTACTGCTTATAAAGCAGGCGCTCTAATCACTGCGCCACGGCCACACAAAGATTAATGTAAAATTAATGTAAAGACTCTTTAGTAGAAAGAGTAAAAGTTAGCAACTCAGGAAGAAAGGAACCATAACTCATACTCTAGTCATCTTTAACAAATGATAAAACAATGATCTATGAGTAAGCAAGTCAATATAAACCCGCTGGTTTATTATTGGTATCCATAACTAAATAATCGCATCATGCAAAAACAATAAAATAAGTATATAACAAAATATTAAGTAAAATGATAATAAATGATAGTTGGAGCAATATATATAAAAAAAAAGTTGAATAAATGTGGTACTAAACTATGGTCTAAACTCTAGATAATAAATTGAGAACTGATAATTACCTGTGTAACATAAAAACATATAAATGATGTTAATGTTTCAAATTGATAATAAAAAGCTCACAAAGCGCAAAAATTCATGAGTGTTAGAGGTAAAAAATGTTAGTGACATAATAACTAATTAGAATTAAGTAGTGGATCAATGGTGATCCCCCTCCTCATGAATGCACTGCCATTACTAATGACGTTTCGGAAAATAAATTTTTAGTAATAAAACAACAAAATCTTGTTAATACTGAATGAACAATAAAATCTTGTTATTATTGAATGAACAATAATATCATGTTAATATTGAATATTTTTTTTTTTTTGAATATACAAGATATAGAAGTATTTTGAATATACCAAGTATAAAAGATTTTTTTAAAAGCATACTTGATCTAAAAAACTTTTTTTTTAGAAAATGACGGTTCAAAAAAATGCCCCTTCACTTTGAAACCCGTGACGTCAGCTTTGACAACACAAGTTAAATGGAATATTGAGTAGATAAAATGGTGTTCTTTTTCTACTATCAATGTTTGAATTGATAGTAGAAATCTTTTTACTTTAAAAAAAGACTATGAACTGTAGTTCATAGTCTTTTTTTAAAAAAGATGTCAAAGTTTTTGATGAGATTTGTGCGTAAGATAGCATGCATAGCAAAAATATTAAAAGAATTGATTCAACCTTAAGACGCATTTAGTATATCTAATCAATATAAATCAAAAATTAAAGTACGTTCATACAATCTAAATTATACTTCATTACAATCAATCAAGTTTCAATTGTAGTTTACATGTTTTTAAAAAAACGTTTTAAAGAAAGTTGTTGTTGCATGGTATAACAATTTTTTTTTTGAATATTTTGAATTTTTATGAATATTTTATATTCAATTTTGTATTCGATGTTTTTTCAGCATAAGCACAAAAACCTGTATAATATGTATCAGTACTGGTCGGGTTCACACTTCTAAGAGGCGCGCAAAAATTAATTTACTCTCTTTAGAAAAAATTTGCCTCAACAACTCTAAAAAGTGTACTTTTTTCTATATAAAATACTTTGTATTCTCTCAAGAATTGATGAGGTAATTAATCCAAAAGGGTTGCTAGTGAACTATTTTATTTTTATGTTAAAAATTAAGTATTACTTTAGAAAATAGACCTTCTGCCAATTTTCATGGTATTGTGCAAAAAACAATTTTTCTAAAAATATTAAAAACAAGATTTTTAATACTTTTAAACCTTCATTTATTTGAAGCGGTTAGACCAAGTATAAAAAGAAATTGGCGATTTGAATACCAAAATGGAAAAATATTGAATTCAATTACTATATTTAAGAGTTACCAACTTTTTTAGGTTTTGTAAATAAATGATTCAAACTGCATAATTTGCATTTAAAGGCAGTTGCATATAAATTCGCTGAAAATTAAATTTATTATTATTATTTTTTTTAATTATTTGCTCTAAGAAGTTTTTACAGTCTTATTACGGAGCATAACAGAATAATCTCCTTATTCATGTCTCCTTCATAATAATGATACATATGATTAGCTAGATCTGATCACCGAAGCTGCTATTTATATTAGCAAGCGTTAACAAAACTTTGAAACAAGAAAGATGATTAATTTCAAATCATTTAAAAAAAAATTAAAAAATAAAATATTATCATACTTTTTTAAAATTAAAGAACATAAATAATAGAACATTGAGTAACTAGAATCTCTTTAATATTTTAAATTAAAACAGGAAATAGTTCGTTTATTATTCAAATAGTTGTATCCAAGTTTAACTTTTTTGCACATTAGGAATTCAGTTAGGAAAAATAAAAAATACTTTTTTTGTCGTACATTTTAGTAATACAAAGAAATGGGACTAACTGCTCAAACATCTTTAACGACTTTTGCCTCATTTTCTTTGTTGTTGGTTGTTACTATTATACCAGGTTTGTAGCATTAATATGGCGAGCGTTATAACATAATTATATAATGTTATAATTGCGTTACATTGCTATACTATGATTTTTACGAGTATTTGCTTAAAACATTTAATCATATTTATATTTAGTATATTTAGTATATTTATTTATTTTGAATAAAGCTGTTCCATTTGTGTCTTGTGTTTCGTGGGGTACGTGGAGTGATGGATTTTACATGAATTACGGCCCAGCAGTGAGTATAGCAACAAACACTCAGTTATGTGGAAAGTATTGTTTTCAAAAGATTATTGACGGCGAACTTTTTGTTGGTGCAATTTTTGGAAAGTTTTGCTTTTGTTTGATAAAATCTTTGGGATTCACATTTCAACCGAGTACAACTTTTAAGTACCTCCAATTTAAATGTAACACTTTTTAATTTTTATATATTATACTATTTTTTTTTACATTTTAAACTATGTCATCTATAATACTTATATTACTTATTAAAATAATATGTTTTTGTTTATATATGCAAATATTTGAAGGTATGTTATTTGTAGCTATGACAACGGTATCTTTAAATATAAAAACATTGTATAGCAAAATATAAAATGAAATCGAAAATAATTAATAAATCACATACATTCTTTGCGTTTTATTAAGTATTGCAATGAATATAATAATTTCACAATGTTATTGAAAGGGTGCCCAGTTTTGATGTTTACATAGTAAAAAAAGAGTAAAAAAGAGATATAAAAAATTAATATTAATTACAATATCTATTGTAAGAATATAAGTTAAAGAGACTTTTTTCTCAAAAACCTCAAAAATACCCTTTTAAATTACCCTCAAAATAACAAAAAACAACCCCTTTGAGTTTTAAACAAACTTTTAAATATTTTGTGCATTTTATGCAACAAAGCTTGTTGTAAAATTTTGTGCAGTAACACAAAAAGTAACAACGTCAGAAGAAGACCTTATGTTTGATGCAATTTCAAAATTGCTGGGTGTAATGATGTTATTTATATAAGTGTGTTCTGTGATTTTATTTTGCAGCAAAGTGATCTTGCTTTGTTAAAAAGTGTTTAAATTTCGGCATTTATAATTGAATAGTTTTGTATGTGCCAGTGAGAAGCAGTGACGGATACAGGACGGACGGGGGAGGGGTGGTAGCGGGTATACATCCGTCCACAATTGGAATTTGTGAAACTTATTTGTTATAAAACCTAGAGGCCCTTTTTTGTCAATTAAAAAAGCTTTATTTTTTTTTTAACTTTTTTTAGTTCTGGTTTCAACAACTCTCCCTACCCATACCAAAAATTTCTGGATCCGTCACTGGTGAGAAAGTTTTGTTAAGGTTTTTTATTTAAAATTCTCTCATTAAAACATAACCAAACGATTATGTTGAGCATAAAATTATCTCCTATTTAAATTTAGTTACAAAACGGTGAGATTTAAAGTAGTTTTTGTAACTTTTTTTATTGACATGTTTTTTGTATTATTAAAATAAATAAAGAAAAAACTTTATCATTAGTTTGAAGTATTTTTGGTAAAAGTTTATTTTTAAAATAGAGAAGCTTATCCTTCAAGAAATCGACATTGTTGGTAGTTTAAAAATTAGAAAAGTTTGAAATATTTGGCTATTACTCTTTTTAATATAGCTTTTGGAAAAATGAGAAATAAATATTGTCTAGAAGTTGTTTCCTGAAAGTATAAAAATTATAAAAAAAGTACATCTTTAGCCAATTTAGTCCCAATGAAAGTGTTATTTTGTCCAAAAAGCTACTAATTTAAAGGCAATCAAAAACTATTTAGATGTAATAACATAATTCTTGACACAGAATAAAGATAATTGAAATGTTTCTCCAAAATTTTGAGAAATGATTTTACTTATTTTTTCGTAACTTATATTCTGACAAATGGATATGCGTAAATATTTGTAAACATTTCATACCACTCAGCAAATGTTGTATAGCGGTATTGTGTTTTAAATTTATGAAGCTATGTTGAATTCAATATTTGCGGTTGCTCAATGTTTGTACTTTTAAGGTATGATTTATAGATTAAAGAATAGATTTATAGAATTTGATCTTTCAACAATTTAAAAAAAACAAAACATTTATGGCTAACTATCATAACCAATTAAATGTATTAACGATTACCGATTTTATGTCGTTCTTTTTCCACCAAAAATAACAAAAGATTTTTTTATTTTTATATTTGTTATATTTTATTTTGTACATTAAGTTCGCCTTATCGTTTGCTTAAAGTTATTGCTTGGGCTGTTATTGCTAATTATTTTTATTGTTGTTCGCATTTATTATTAATTAAGTGTTTTCATATTTTCAATATATTATAGTTTAACCTTTTTTTTTCTCTAATTAATTTAAGTTATGTTTGCTTTATTTCATTTTATTTACTTATATCTTATTAACAATTCTCTAGATTTTGCTGATTGTTTTATTTGTTTATTTTATTTACGTGTCGCTCCAATGACTAGTTTTTAATTAAATGAACAACAAATAATAGTTTATAATAAAAATTAGGTTAGGTGTCATTTATTATAATAAAACTTTTTTAATTTTTTTGTTAAATAAATGAATCTCTCTCTCTCTCTCTCTCTCTCTCTCTCTCTCTCTCTATATATATATATATATATATATATATATATATATATATGTATATATATATATATATATATATATATATATATATATATATATATATATATATATATATATATATATATGTATATATACATTGAGTTTAAATTATTCTTTTAGTTTCGTATATTGACTCTTATAAATCGGTTTGCCAAATTGGTGAAACATTAATGTTTAATGTTAGGATGAGATTTTACAGCGAAGGAAACGACAAAAGCATTGTGTATTTTATAGACAATTTAAATGAGCCTCTAACAAAGTCTGGACGAATATATAACATTGATTCTATAAACTATGGAAGAAGCACTTATGACAGTAGAGTTTTAGGAAAGTATAATGAAACTAATCAGGCCAATTCACTTGAAGAATATTACGGCAGCGGAGGAGTTGATACAGAAATCGAAAATCTTTACACTCTTGTTACCAAGGTATCTTGTTATCAAAATTATTAAACTTTAAAATATATTAACTATATTTTATTTTTTAAGTTTAACTTCCAGACATGGAGCGAACTCCAAACAATTATATGATTGTACTTATGTCAAATAAGGATGCTTTGTAAAAATTTGCAATTATTGGAGCCTGGAAACAAAAAAGCAAAAATATTAGCCCCACTCCTGCCCTAAACGTGAGAGCAACAAGTTGATGAAATATATTTTGTACTATTTTTATCTAGACTTATATTCATCGAAAAATTTTAAGTTTCATAATATAATTTCTTAGCGTTCAAAATATGACCATATATATTTGCAAATCCCTCAAATTGAGGGGATATAAACTTTATATAATCATATTTTTTATACGCTAAAATATTTTACTATGAAATTTAAAATTTATTGATGAATATAAGTCTAGTTGAAAATAGTTTAAAAAATATTTCATCAACTTTTTGCTCTCCCGTTTGGGTTCCGTTTGAGTAAAATATTTTCAAGTTATTTTATAAACATATATATATATATATATATATATATATATATATATATATATATATATATATATATATATATATATATATATATATATATATATATATATATATATATATATATATATAAAAATATATAGTTTTTTAAAATACATATATATATTTATATATCACTACCGTTTATGATTATTTGATTGGCATTAAAATTTTTAAAAGATGGTATTTTTTATTTTACAATTTTTTGTGTTTATTTTTGCAGTAAAAGAAATTTACTTATTTAACCTAAAATTATACTACACCTTCGTAAAGATCGGTTAATGAGAAATTATTCATTTTTTCTGAAGATAATGACTTGAAGCTTAAATCTAAAAAGTATTTTTCAAAAAATTGTTTAAGTTATTTGACTGAGTTTGATAACGATGAAGTATAAAATAAAATAATGATATAATGAAATAATAAAAGTATAAAATAATCTCCCCAATCACAAAACCTCTCTTCTATCTGATTTTTGTGGGAGGAATTAAAACTAATGAGAAAAAATGGCTAATGATGCATAAGATGTGGAAAAAATTGGCATAAAATTTACTTCGACAAATTGGATAAACTGTTAAGGAGAATGCCAACAATATGTTTAAGGTTATTGTTGCTAAGGGTGATCTAAAGGCAAGCAAATTATAAACTAATCTAATTGGACATTATATTAATTTTTTTGCAAAAGAAATAAAAAGGGAGATAACATATAATTCAGGTAGACTTTGCTTACTTTTCTTTCCTTTTAATAAATAAAACTATAATATCTTATATTAGAAAGTACGACCATTCGAATAATTATGAACGGTTGTGTGTATATTTATATATATATATATATATATATATATATATATATATATATATATATATATATATATACAAGGCCAGCACGAGTAGGTGTCACGTGGAGGGGGTTTAGTCAAATTTATCGTTGATAGAGAAGTGGGGTTGTCACACCCCCCACACACCCCTATCGCGCCGGCCTTGTGTGTATATATATATATATATATATATATATATATATATATATATATATATATATATATATATATTATATATATATATATATATATACATATATATAAATGTATATATATATATATATATATATATATATATATATATATATATATATATATATATATATATATATATATATATATATATATATATATATATATATATATATATATATATATATATCAAAATATTTATACGTATCATATTTAATAAAAAATATGTTACGTATTTTGTAATTGGTAATTATGTAATAGGTAGGCGACATGTCCGCTGAAACTAAACAGACAGAATGGGCAGTTTTGATTGTCTCAAGTAATAAAAGACTTCAGTATACTCTTACTCCATTTATTGTTTTACGTCCACCAATGAACTGCAGTTTACTTATAAGTACATCATCAATGCTGAAAAAGTAAATTTTTTTTCAATCTTTTTAAATTACATTAGCATAAGTTAGATTGAATCGTTCAAAGTAAATTTAAATGCACATAATTACTTCACAAAAAAAATTTAGACCCAAATCTAGATCAAATCAGAAAAATGATAAAAACATTTTTACATACATCTACTGTGCTTCTTTAATATCTATTTGCTTCTTAAACAAACTGTTAACGAAAAAGTTATGTGGTAGAGTGCACATCATTATAAATTCAAATATTGAACAAATTGGATAATTTTTTGTTTTTCTAGTTTATTATAATGTTGCCGTTCCGAATTTGTTGGTAATAAAAAAGTCTGACGCGTGGTTCGATTTATAAAGGGCCCAAAAAGAAACCCACTAAAAATCTTTTTTCCAAAAAAGACATCATTTGTCAAATTTTTGTTGTTTTTATTTTATTTTCTATTTGTTTTTTAGGAGTTGCGTTAAAAGAAGTAAAAAAAAATTCGTTTTTCAAATAATTATAAGGAAAAGTAATTTTGGGGCAGTGGCTCATCTTGTGTTTATCCGGGACCGCTAGATATTTATAAAAAATTTCAAAATATATTTAAAATGACTGCAATGGTACTAGCAAAAAAGTAATGAAGCGATTTTTATATAAAAATTTTTATTTCTTATTTTATGGTCTAAAACTTGTAGAACAGAATTAGTAATAAAAAAAAAAATTGCAGTTACATTATTTTAAGTTTCATTTTTGTTTTGCTTTTCTATAAAAGATACTTAAGCAAAAGTTTATTTTTAATTTTTATTCATTTTTGGAAGAAATAGAAGAAAAGGTAATTTTTTTTTTCTTATTTAGGTGCCCCAAGAAGGCCTTACAGTCATGTCACAGAGCAAAGCGAAAGGGCATTTAACCAGAAAGTTTAAGCCTCTTCCTTACCGTAACGCGAAAATGTATCCAGAGCTCGTTTCGAACCTGGTTCCTCTGCTTATAAAGCAAACGCTCTAACCACTGCGCCACGGCCGCACGTTTATTTGATATATTTTTTGTAGTGGCTGTCATGGACCGCTAAAAATTTCCAAAAATGTCAGAAGTAGAGTAATTGTGCCAGTAAAAAAAATATGAACCATTTTTTTAACAAAATATTACAATTTTTGTTTTAAGGCCAAAATCTTTAAAACATCATTCCTATTTTATAATTCGTTTATAATCTTCAAATTATTTGGTGAATTATTTGAGTATTTTAAAACTTGAAAAATTAGCAGTTTTAAAAAAATTAAATTTTATTCATAGTTAAATCTATATTCGACGAATATAAATTGACGAATTTTTTTTTATAGACTAAAACGTCAATAGAATCTCTTTCATGCCAATTACCAAACGGACAAGCTTTGTTATTCGAATGAAAAAATCCCCAATTAAATAGTGGGTTTTCAAATGCTTCGAAGTTTTCGCTAAATTGTGATATTTTTCTTTTTTTTTTTTGGTTCATTTTTCAGATAATTATTTGATTTTGACCCTTCTAAATTCTATCTCTATTGAGAAATAGTGTAATAAAAAAGTCAATAAATTTTCGAATTGAAATTTTCGTGGAAAATGCAACCGTACATACAAAATCGTTTTTAGAAGCAAAATTGGCTTTTAATCTTAAGTTATTCGGTGAATTATTTGAGTATTGAGTAGACTTAAATAATGAAGAATTTTACATCTAAAAAGCATTATTAAGGCCAAAAAACTGTAAAATGATGTTTTACAGTTTTTGGCCTTAAATTAAAAACTATAATATTTTGTGATGGCACAATTGTCTTCATTTTAAACCTATTTTAGATATTTTTGAAAATTTCTAGCGGTCCCTGATAAAAATATTTTTTTGCTAAAGTAACTTTTATAGAAAAAATAAGCAAAATTAAAATTTAAAAAAATTTAATCGCAATTTTTTTTTTTCATTACTAATTCAGTTTTACAGGTTTTAGGCCATCAAAATAAGAAATAAATTTTTTTATGTAAAAATCGCTTTATAAAATTTTTGCTAATACCATTGCGGTTATATTCAATTTATTTTGAAGTTTTTTATAAATATCTAGCGGTCCCGGATAGACTCAAGGTGAGCCACTGCCCCAAAATTACTTTTCTATATAATTATTCGAAAAATGCATATTTTTTCTCATCTTTTAACGCAGCTCCTAAAGAACAAATAGAAAATAAAACAAAAACAAAAACAAAATTTAAGAAGTGATATGTTTTTTTAAGAAAAAGATTTTTTATGGGTTTCCTTTTGGGCCCTGTATAAATTGAACCACGCTTCAGAATTTTTTCTTACCATTCGGAACGACAATATTATAATTAAGTAGAAAAACAAAAAATGTTTTTATGACTTTGCCATATACAGGAGTTCTTTTTTAAGGCACAACGTTTTGCATAATTTCACGTTATATTTTTTAAACTTAAGTTTATTATTATAAATAAAATATTTGTTTAATTATCTATAGTTATAAAAATTTCAAATCAAAAATCTGTAGCTTTACAATAAAAATTAGTTTTTTCTGTAATAATGTGTCTTCATTTTTTACCTGTTTTACAAAAGCATCTGCATAGTATTTATATATATTATTATTATCAATGTTGGTTTGGAGTCTATCTATCTAGAATATTTATAAATAAACCAGTTCTAAAGTTTATTTAAAGAAAGAAACTAATGCATTTTTGGGGCTCCAGTCCAACATTGAATTTACAAGGTCATTGGAAATTTTTCATGACCTAATTTAAATATACCAATGTTATTAACATTATATTTTTTGCCGTTTAATAAGTATTACAGTTTACAAAAATTTACAATTAAGTTAATGGCCGGAGCAAGAAGAAGGCATTAATTTGCCTTATCGCCGAGCACCGTGTTACAATTTATAAGTTTTTACAAAGTTATTGAAGAATATATAGTATATAAGAAAAAATGAATAAATGTTTACAAGAATTCAAAAAATAAAATAAGATATCGTTTAACACATAATATCATAAACAGACAAAATAAAAGTAAAAATGAATATATAAATTTATATACACATTCGCACACTTACACATACAAGCGAACATATACCCACATATATGAACACACACAAACACATATATATAAATACATATATATATGCATACATACACACACACATACGCACATACACATATACACATATACATATGCACATACGCACACACGCACACACACACACATATATATATATATATATATATATATATATATATATATATATATATATATATATATATATATATATATATATATATATATATATATATATATATATATATATATATATATATATATATATATATATATACAATATAAACAAAAATGATCGCATATTTTTAAAAAATCTAAAAAAATTTAAATTATAATTGTGAGCGAGTATTTCTCACCACGTCACGTGATTGTTGAGCATTATTGAATAAATGCAAATACCAATTTGTTTTATTCCCACAAAGATATTACTGTTCTTTTTAAAATAATTAACGAAGAATTAGATAAGATCAACGAGTGGTTTATAAGTAACCGACTATCATAAAATGTAGAGAAAAAAAGTTTATCCTATTCCATAAACCTAATAAAGCCGAGAAAATTTCTCTTAAACTACCCAATCTTATGATCAATAATAAAATAATTAAAAGGGAATTGACTACAAACTTTCTAGGAGTGCTCTTAGATAAAGAATTGTGATGGAAATTTCATATTAAATATATTGAAGGTAAGATCTCAAAAAAAATTACCATGTTATATCGAACAAAACCTTTTCTTAATAACGAGTCAAAAAAATTATATTTTTTGTTTATACACAGCTATCTTTCATGCTGTAACATTTCCTGGGGTAGCACTAATTACACTAAAACTCAAAAAAATTTATAGTAAACAAAAACATACTTGCAGGATAGTATTTGGGGCAAATAGAAAAACACAATGCGAACCTCTCTTACGTCAGCTTAGAGCTTTAAATATTTATAAGCTTAATATTCATCAAGTAATGCTATTTATGTTTAAAGCAAAACCTGGTTTTTCTCCACTAACATTTCAATCCTACTTTAACGAAAACTCCCATAAATATCCAACCAAATTTTCAGTGAATAACTTTGTGGTTCCCATAAACCTTCTTAAATTTAGTTTGTTCCATTCAATATCGGGAATCTTTAGTTTGGAAAAAATTTCTTCCAATCTTTAATAATAAAAAAAAAAAAAATTCGTATTAAACTGCACTTTGCAAAGTTTTAAGGATGATTCAAAACGGCATTTACTGAACATGGAATTCGAGATATTAGATTTCAAATACCTTTTTTGAAAACAATATAAAGGTTTAAAATAAATCACTTAAAAATAAATTAAATCTTTACCACTTTCTTTAGCTTTTATTAAAGTGGTTTCAAACCATTAGCATAAAAGATAACAAAAATAAAATTGTCTTTTCGTTCATATTTTTTATGATATTAAATAATCAACCCAAACACATATGTTTACATATATTGCTTTTTTAAATTAAACAACGCATTTTTTTTGTGTTTTTATAACTTTCATGATTTTCTGTCGTTTTTACTTTTTTATTTTTAAAATTGTTCTGCTGAAGGATTGTTAGCAACAAATTATTTTATTGCTGAAGTTTTTTTGTTTTTGTTTTAGTATTAATACTGTCTTTTTGTCTTTTATCATTTATTGTGCATGTAAATTTTAGTATGACGGGGGTCGGTGATAAGACAATCTGTCTTCTTCTTGCTCCGGCCAGCATTTTCTTTTATTGTAATTTCTTTTTTGTAATATTTATTAACGGCAAAATAAATGTTTAAAAAAAAAGTACACACCTTACTCAATTTTAGAAGTTGCAAATTTTAAATAATCATAATTTTCTAACGCTAAGAGATAATAGAATAAACTTTGAAATTTGTTTTTATCTTGTTGCTCTCACGATTGGGGTAGAAAAAACCTAGACTCCGATTATCGCAATCTTTTGCAATCCATATTTTTTTAACATAGATATAAGCAAATAAATAATTGGAGTTTGCTTCATGTTTAAAAATTAAATATCAAAAAACACGGCATCCGAACCTGATATTAAGTGTATAGTCTTTATTACCTCATAGTAATGAAGACTATTTACTACGAAGATTAAGATCTATTTGTGAAGTATAGTGAAGCACTGTTAATTATGAATTATTTTAAAGTAAATAATTTTACTTTGAAAGTGTTTAGTTTAATGAGGTATTATGCATTTGCAGAACAAAATATCTCTTTATCATTTTATATTTATGGAAAATCATTGACATAGTCGACAATATACTTTTTTTTTGCAAGGGCTTTCTATAATTTTTTCCCCGTCTAAACCCAGGTTTGGCAAAATTTAAAACATCTTGTTTCAGGTTGCAAATTTTTTTAAAGTATTTTTTTGTTGGATTGTATAATATTACTGTTAAATACCAGCTGTAAAATCATATTTTTCAAATTATAAATTAATTTTTATATTTATTATTTTAATATGTAGTTTTTTGTTGTTCTTTTAGTGACCGTTTTTATGTAAACTTTACTCTAACAACAAGTGTTAACTGCACAGCAGATCTGAAAAATATTTACTTACTTTTGCATCCTGAAAAGAGATTTATATATAGAGGAATAATTTGGGATAAAACCACAAGTCGTGCATCGTTAATTATGCCAACATCAGTGATTGTTAATGAGAAATATATTTCAATATATGTAAGTATTATTTATATATAATATAACATAAATACAAATATATACAAATATACTAACATTTTTATTCATATACTGTAATTGTTATAAATTGTTTTATTATATTAGCTAAGTCATTTAAGAATTGATACTACTTTGAAGTTTTCTGCTACTTTTGATAATAATGTTACAACGGCTGTAACTGGTACTACCAATTTGACGGTTCTTGCAACTTTGGTATTTTGCGAATATGTTAATAATGTAACAGTTAACAAATCAAGAACTTTTATATTTAAAAGACCTCTTCGACAAATTAAGCAGGGTAAATTTTTTTTATAACTATTTGCATTATCTGCTATAGTGCAGTAAGAAATTTATTTTTCTGTAAATTAACATATAAATATAATTATTACCTATCATAGCCAATTGCTTAAGGCTTAAATAGCAACTTTAAACATCTCTCTCCAAAAGCTAAAAAAAATTTTGTTAACCCTGTCTTTATCTAGACCCATTTCGGTATAAATTGACATTAAAGCTAGGTCATTCAATGACTTTTTTAACAATCTACTTCTTGAATAAGTTTTTCATCTCTTGGTATTGTACCTAGAATTAGATCTCTAAAATATTCAAGAATGTTGGGGAAATCAGTCATTGTCGTGACTATTGTTTAAAAAATACTAGGTAGGGGTTTTGACTGATCTTTCTAAAGAGGCTTCCATAATCCAACTCTGCATGGATAAAGGTTGAATGCAGAGTTAGAATGATAGATATCTAGAAATTCCTGAAAGTAGATTTGCAAATCTTAGCCGGTTTTCAGGCAACTTACCAAATTTAATCTTTTGAAGCGTGCTTTTTTTTAAGTGCTAATTTCAAGATTCTGAAATTTGAGACATGTCGTTGCTTATCTTGGAGTCTAATTACAATCTAAAAAATTCAATTCATCAAAGTTTGGTTAAAACTAAAGTTACATTAAAATAAAATTCAAACATCAACTATGAAGAGACTTTAGCTAAAAAAAATGCCTAGACTTTTCTGTTTTAAAACCTAACAAGTAAAACAGACATTGATTAGCTTTGCTTTACCATCAGAACGATAATTATTTGAACATGCCAGTAGTTTTCAACTAAGAGCACATTTAAATAATTAAGGACAGTCAAAAAAGCTTAAGAAATCATTACGAGTATTATAGTTAATGCCTATATATCTTATAACGATAGACAACTGTTTATGATTGGCACAATCAGATGCTTTATCAGCTAAAATTGAATAGTATTTACTATTTAATTTTACTATTCAATATAAAAATCTTCTCAAAAGCCTCACTACAACACTCCATAAGTTGATTTTGTGTGGTTTAAAAATAATGTGACTTTTTTAGGGGTTGATATTAAATGATCTTATAAGATAGTGTCACCTGCATAAATTCCAAAACTGAGTAGTTCGAAAATATTTCCTTCAACTCTTTCTAGAGGACTCTCTTATATTATTGTCTCCAATATTGTATTATATTTGACTCTAATTAACAATAGAATCAACTTATAAGACCCTCTTTAATTAAAGCTTTAATTTGAAATTTTTTTGAAGAAATAAAAAGCTAATAATTTAATTATTTACATTTATAGCAAAAACATTAAAATTGTTTATATAGCTTTGTGGCAAAACTATTATTTATAGTATTAACCTGTTTAATAAAATAATAGTGTTTTAGTTAAACGTTATAAGAATTTTAAAACAATAAGCACAGAAACAGTTGTATATAAGTAAACTAATTACAGTTAATTTTTATTAAAAAAAGTTACAGTTATTTTTATTAAAAATATAGTCCGTGAAAACAAAGTTAAAAATTAAAAAAAAAAAAAAAAGTTTTGTCCAATTTAAAATATGGGATAAAAACATTTATATCAGGGCATTTTCAAGCCAAAAGTTTAACTACGAAATTAAACTGGTGAGATATTCAAATCATTTCGTTTTGTAAACATTTAATATTATGAATGTAAATCAACAGCATTTGGAACAGTTTTTTTTTTAAAACATATCCGCCATAATTACCAACTTACTAAGAAAATAATGAAGGCGCTTTGCTTATTTGAAAATAGCTGGGCATAATAAGACTGGAAAATAAGTACAGCCACAAGGCAAAAAGCAATCTAGCCACGGGCTACGAGTGTTGACGGCATACAACTTTTTAATGAAAATACATTATGATAAAAAAAAACAATAATTTAGTCAGGTTATGCCGTAAAATCAGATCGTTTTTAGCTCAGCCACAAACCGATATGCAATGACCAATCTTTTTTTTAATTCCGGTTTTTTTTTAGTTTTAAATACTAGTTTTAAGTCGCTTTTAAAGCCGAATTTACACAGCAAAAAAAAATAAATAAACTTATCTTTACAATTTATATTATTTTTATTTTAAAAATATGTTGGAGTATTATATTGTTTTTTATTTCGTTGATTATTTTAAGGTGTAGCCTTAGCCACAACGGCTATACCCAAGATCCGCGCCTGACTCTTTTATTTATTAATTATTATTGATCACCTTAAACCACGCATTGCTCATTTAAATATATATATGAGTATTTTACAACAATTATAAACGCAATTTTATAGCAACTAAATACGCTATAGCTATGCACTTTGACATTTATTTCAAAAAGTTAGAATAAAAACAAAACAAATACTATAAGTTAGAAATGAATGTTAACATTCAAAAAATGTAAAACTTATCGCTACATTATTATTACTTAAAAGGTTATGCAATTTTAAAACCATAAAACTTGTGACTATTTTTGTACGACTTTTAACGTTTTCTGTTTTAAGAATTGTATTGATGATTCCTGCACGACCGTTGTTTTTTCCCAAGGGTCAATAAACAAGACCAGATTTTTAATAAATTCCGTAATAAACAAGGTTTTTTGTAATTATTATTCGGTAATAAACATTTTTTCTCATTTAAAAGGATTGCATCTAAAGGAGGAAGGGGGGGGGAGGATAGGTCACTCGGGCCTCACCTCATTAAAGGTTCATAATGGAGCCCGACAATTTATTAGAAAACTGTATCGAAAAACCTATCATATTTAATATTATTAAGGTGGTTATTAAAGTGGTTCTTATGTTATCAAAAAAAGTTATTTTTTATTCATTAAGCACTAATTTTTTCAAAACTAGGTGCAAAATGTTAAAAAAATATATATTTTCGAACTTCAAAAATTCATTGATGATCACATAAAGGGCTATAATAGTCAAAATAACCCTTAAAAATCAAGTTTGCTAGAAACACAATTACTCACGAGTAAAAGTTAATTTTACTTTCAAACTAGGTATACTTGTGTGTGCAACCTGTATCTAGTGCGTGAGTTTTTTTATTAAAAATAATTCAAAACAACTGTGTTTTTGAAAAATCTGCTACTAGGCCTCTGATTTTAGTTCCCTAACCACAACTTACAAGTAATAAATTATTTTGAAAAAAACTCTAAAAGGCACTAGCAGTACACTAGAAGCCCTGAAAATTTCAAGTAGTTATCACTAATAATTCAAAAGTTTTTCGTGAGACAATTTTCTTGAAAAACTATATGGCCGAAAATCAAAAAACAAGAAAAAAATTTGTTTTTAAAACTAAAATATGTATAATATTTACAGGTTTTCTACCACGACCACCAACACCCTTTCTTGATAACTTTCTTTTGTTATTTCGAAGGTTTGTTATATTAAATCATTATCATTTTACTAGAATCTAATTATAATATTAAATAATTTCAACAAATACATTAGAAAACAGTAAAAATAAAATTACTATAAAAAAGCCTTCCTTCTGTTTGCACTTTGCCACAGCATAACTTATAATTATTAAATACTTAACAACTTGGATGTACAAGGCAACATTAGAATAGCAAAAGAGATGTACTTCTTTAAGTTTTAAAGTACATTCAAGATAGCTCTGGCACAAAATAACCCACAAAAAAGTAAACAGCCCAGGCCCAAAAAAGTCCCAATCCTAAAGACACCTACGCGTAAGTCGACAAAAAAAAAAAAAAAACACAGAGGTATTTATCAATATTTACAAAATAATAAATCTCCCAAAATCATATCAGTCAAAAAAACATCTAAATTTACTTTACAATCCTCAGCATCCTCCTCTTTTTCGTTGTTTTTCCAATAAGCAATAATAAAAGATTTTATTGTATCTACACCTGATTCGATATTCTTATATTCAATAATTTTTCCTTTAAACAAAACATCACAATTATTAACATTCCAGATGTGATCGAGATGTGAGTTTTTTAATTGGCCCAAATTTGTGCCAAGTAGTTTTTCTAGGTTTTTCCTTTGAAACCCAATTAAAGAGTTAAACCCAGTTAAGAGTTATTGGCAGTTAAACCATTGCCTAAACCAGCTTTAATAGCTTTCGAAAGTTTATTTTTCATTTTCATATCTCTATTTTGAGATTTCTTCTTTAATTTAAAAATCATGATTTTTTCATTTCTTAATCTTCTTTCTTTTGCAATTTGCCTGTATTTTGCACCTTGCTTGATGCAAAATGTTGCTAGTTTCTCCCTAATATAAATATCTTTTTTTAAAAGCCAATCAATAGAGTAATCAACTTTTGCAACACTATCAATAAATGAAATATCTGCATTTGGCGCTCTTTTTAATTGTGAACTAACCTTTCCAAATGTCTTCTCTGCCCATATATTGTGAATCAGGGCACTTGCAGCTTGTTGTTTTATTTCAGCAGTTAGATGTGGTTGTGGCCCAGCAAAATAACGCTAAAGTTGCCGGCATATAACTGATAAGAATTAACATAGCTAGAATAAATACTATTATAAAAAAATATTTTTTAGTGAGACACCTTCGTTAATCCGTAGTAACTTTAAAGTATCATATTTTCAAAACTGCTGTTCACACATAAGCATCATCCTTGTGATAGATGATAAGTAACTATCCCATTATATGATATACCATTTAACATTTGATATAACATATTGGTATAACATATTGATATAACATTTTTAGTAAATGATTTTTTGATGAAAGTTCTTTTTATCTGCGAGGAAGTATTTCAGACTTATATCAATCACAGATTTAAATCAATATTTCTCAACTCAAATTCACTATTTAATTCACTGATCACTTGAGCGCTACAGTCTCTTTAGACTCTAAGGATATAGATCTAAAGTGTGCTAAACCCTCTTTAAATCTAGTATTCAAGTGATTTTAATTTAAGTACTCAGCTGTGATTAGCTACATAATTTATGCCTAAAATTTGATAAGTTATGAGCAGTTACGATTGATTACGATAAATTAATTAAATAAATTGTGATAAATTGCTATTTACGAATTTAATTTAGAAATTTCATTTACAAAAAATTAATTTACAAATTTCATTTACAAAAATTATAATCTAATTTTACAAAAACTATGAAAAAAAAAAATGGTGCAATAAAATCAGCAGCTTTATGTGGAGCTTTTTCAGGTCAATTAAATACTAACATGCAGTTTTCTTAAATTAATGACTGTAAAATAAAAAGGTAGCTTTTTATCAACTCGCAACAATTTTTATGATAGCTAATCAAAGAAGTGCTAACTCTGTCTTTTTTATAAACTTCCAATTATGAAAATTCTAGACATTAAAGATATTAAAGATAATTAATATCTTTAATGTCTAGAATTTTCATAATTGCAAAATAAAATTCAAATTAACTTAATCCTCGCACTTTATGGAGCCAACACAAAGTTTAAAAAGACGCCAAAAATAAATTTTTCCATCTGATGTAGAACTTTATGAACTTGAGCTTCTGTTGCAGATTCATGAATCATGAAAACAGGTAAACAGAAATCACTAACAGACAACTTCCCGGACACTATCCAGACAACTTTTTAATTCAGTTGTACTATTTATGTTATTTATTTAAAAAAATCAACTGTTGTTCAACGATGTATCTTCATACTTGTCAATACTTTGTAATAATCTTATTAAGGAATTTAAATAAAAAAAATCAAGGTAAAAAGAGCTTGTAAAAACATTGCATAGAACATTTACTTTATTTATTATGTTAGCTAAACAGTTAAAAATGTTTTTGTTAGACCAAACATTATTGCCCTTAGTCCTTAGAGACCTATTAGTTGTTAAGATCAAAGCATGAACATCTAAATCAATAGTTAATTAGATACAAATTTATATAGACGAAGAAAAACACAAAAATCTTGCAATGTGTCTAGTCGAAAACTACTGGTAGAAGCTAAATTGCAGAAATTAATACTGTATGAAGAACTGCCTGCGTGTATAGAAATCCAATATTTAAATGCTGCTTCAAAAAAGCAATTCAGTTGTTCTGGAAACGTATATATTATGTTTTCAGAACATATTTATTATGTTTCCAGAACAAATTATAATGTTGTTCTAGAAACATATTTACAGAGATTTTTGATTATGTTTCCAGAAAATAAATGAAAATAATATGGAAACATATTTACAGAGATTTCTGTCTACAAAAGACAAAACTTAGATAATGATTTGCAGGAAAAAATATTCTTGTAAATTTTTTTTAGAAACTAATAAAAATATATATTTAATTGTTTTATTCTTTTTTAGCTTTTGATTAAGTATTGTTTTCAATTTTAGTTGGTCCACCATGTTTTTTCCAATACTATAGCTTAGAAACGTGTTCCAGAAACAATAATTATGAAGTTTGTTGAAAGGGATTTTTAACATTATTGTTGAAATTTGTTGACCGTGTTTAACATTTTAATAAGTAATTTTAACCTTTATGTTGAAATTTGTTGAAAGAGATTTTTAACATAAACAAAAAATGAGTTTTCATATCAACTCATAACCACAACTCTTAAAACAAAATCTAGACACTGATTTTAACAAAAACTAAACTTTTAATTATCATAATTCCTTATTTTAAATTACACATATTTTTATGCACATTTATATTAAAACTAAAACTCTTAAAGGCAGCTGTTTGATGCATAAAAAAAGTTTAACAAAGACGTTTCGTTGCAAAACAAGCTTAAATTGCGTTTAATTTAACAACTAAATTCGGTCAGAAGTAGTTTCCAGAAAACGGGGTTGTTGGGGTGCCATACCCCAATTTCAACCACCTAAAGAAATATAATTTTCATCTTTTAGTTTGTGTTTTAATAATCTGATTGCCATAAGTCTTTCACGCAAATAAGTCTTTCGCCTACAAAGACAAGAAAAAAAGCGCTCACACGTACATGAGATAGTAAAATCTTCACCAGCTTCACAAACTCGGAAATCAGTGAAATTAAGTGAGAAAGGACACCGTCATGGTCTACAAGCTCATTCAAAACTGATTCAAAATCATTTAGTTGAATATTCTTAAATTTTTCATGATCCACAAATGTGTCGCATGGAGTTGTAGGCTTCTACAATCTTCAAATTCATCTTTATAAAAAGCCTCAACGAATTTACCTTCCAAGCACTGACCGACAATAAGTTTTTCTACATTTACTAAACGGTCAGTGGTCCTAGTCAGTTCGGAACTGGTTGCAAATCCGGTTATAACACAATCCAGAGATGCATAGAAAAGCTGGTGGTAGTGTTCTTCTGGAGTCGTAGCAAAATATGGAATTCCACTTCCAGTAAATTTTGATTTAATTTAACGTTTCTGTGGCATCTCTGGTTTGTCAAGTCAACATTCTGCAACTTCAATGGCTGCATCCTATGAGACTTTGAAGCGAGTATCACCCCGGGCTTCTTTTAACACCTCTTTATGCGAGTTGATGGTATTTCTTGCTAGTCAAAAATTAGGCTGCATGCATAAAATGATTTTCAATACACGTTTACATTATAGTTTCCTTAAAACAATATATTTAAAAAAAAACAATATGAAATAAAACAATATTTACCTTTGAGTGTTGTATTAGCATCCTCTATTATCGTGAAGATCATGCGCAAAATTTACAATTTGAAAAATGTTTCAAACTGTTACAAAAAGATTCAAATGTTACAAAAAAATTCCAGATAACCCACTGCTTCTGATTTATTTTTGGCTGATTTATCAGTTTTCAAAATCCTCTAACCAATTGATTATGGCGGAATAATTACTTGTAATAGATGTAATATTTTTCTCTGTGAAAGACGGCAACTCAAAAACAGCGGTTGAATCAGTTGCATCATCTGACTGTACAAATGATAAACTTTCATGAGTATTATCTTGGAAGTTATTAGCATTTTGAGATTCAAAAAGTTATGCAACTGTTTCAATTTGATTTTCTTTTTTTGATAAGTATTCACTAATCTTCATTCTGTAAATTGTTCAAATCATTACATAAAAGTTAATGTTGAACAGTTAAAAAATTTCTTTAAAAACTAGCATTTTTAAAAAAAAAAAATACCAAACGAACGTTTAACTCACACAACTCTTTAGTTTATATAGCTCCGTTAATTTGCTTTTTGTTACGTTTTTCAAAATACTTTGAGACTCATCAGAAGCGTGGAATTTTTGAAACTCAAAAAATAACTTTAACTTTTAAAAGTTTAAACGTTTGAAAATCACCATAGGTATTTTCGGAAATATTGCAATTGTTTTTAAATTGTTATTTTTGTTAATGTTTAAGTATATTAAAGGGTTTTTATTTTTTTAATATTTTTGAAAGCTAGGTGGATTTTTGCGGGTGGGGAAAAATCCCAGCGATAAATTTCCGGATGGGGCTCCAGCCCCTAGCCCGAGCGCGTTCAACGCCTATGGTGAAAAGGCTAGCATATGGTTGTCACAAAGTTTTTAAGCAAGGGTTTTACCACGACAACATAGAAATGAAGTTGTCAAAAAATTGCTTTATGTATACATAATAGTATATTAGGTACCAAGGTTTGAGTAATACTTTTTTTGTGCTTGCTAACAAATGACCTCTTTTTTGTAAAATAAAAATTCAATCTAACTGAGGTTCTTTAAAAATAAATTGTAAGCAAGGCCGATATATTGTCCAGCTTAAGCAAAATAATATAAACACTTATTATATACACTTATTATTAAAATGAAAATGCAAAACATTTTACTAAAAAGCATCAGCAACACATTCTAAATGTTTAAAAAAAATTGATAAAATGGCTTCAAAGTGATATATAACGCAAAAATTAAAACAAACAAAAAAAAATGTCAACGTTTTTTTTTGTTTGTTTTAATTTGTCAACTTTTTTTCATTTTTTGTTTACAATGTTTTATACATTTTAATTATATTGGTACTTGGTTTTTATAGAAATAACTACTTTCAGTCTTAAGTCTGATATCAATGTTACAAGTTTTGAGACGACGACCCACTTATTTTATTGCCAACCCATTCAAAAAAGGTTTTTTTTACATTATTCTAATTTTTTAATTACATTTCATAATTAGTTTATTATTATTTGCAAAAAAATTAGTTGTTTTAAATAAGTTCTTTATTTTAAATTATTTCAGACAACAGACAGCTTGTTATCAAAAAGAAAAACGAAATCGTTTTATAACTTGTAAGTAAGCATTTGATTCGGTAAAGTTCTAGAAAATTTTATTGTTATTCAACGTAAAATCTAGATGAAATGTTTTTTGTATATACTAAATAAAAATTACATTACGTTTACGTAGAAAAACCAATTTGTGGAGATCATTTATTTTACTTTGTATAATGTTTAATATTACATTTATTTAAATTAATCCCTATAAAATTTTAGAGTTAAGTTACCTATTGTAACGTAACGGGATTCGTTACGTTACGTGCAAAATGTCAGTTATTTTTACATAATCGAGACTTAACATTGTAACGTAACACTACGTGTAAAGTGTTACGTAACAACACGTAACATTTTGACCTAATGACACGTAACACTGTAATTTATAGTATCTATCCCCTATAACATTTTAAAGTTACGCAACTTCTCAATCGGTTACAATCGGTTACATTCTCTATTTTTTAATTAAATATTAAGTAAATAAACTTGATAATGCGGTAATGGTTTATTTATTATTGCCGTTTTGCTAAATACAATCTTTTATTTTAATTTTATTGTAAAATAGCTTCGTCTCAATTGGTTACTTTGTCACGAAAAAAAAAAGTCTCAATACCCAAAGTTACGTCTCAAATGTTTTTTTTTATAGCTTTATAAAATGTAACCAATTGAGACGTTACATAACGTAAATCAATCTAGATTTGAGACGTAACTAAAGTACATTTCAAACATATATTTTTTTAACGTTATGTTACGTCTCATAAAAAAATATATATATATATATATATATATATATATATATATATATATATATATATATATATATATATATATATATACATATATTTATGTATATGTATATATATATATATATATATATATATATATATATATATATATATATATATATATATATATATATATATATATAAATTACATAGTGTTTTTGTAATAGTTGTGCTTTTTCTAAAAGTATGGTTTGAAAGTCCCATAGAAGTGGTAATTAGGTTAGATTGATAATGAACTGTAATAAAAAAATTTTAAAAATAATATTCTAATAATTATTGTTTCCTTATTCAAGTATTATTGATAAAATAATTGTGTTTGTAACAAAAACAATATTTATATAACAGTTGAAATATTAGTAATGCTAATTTTAGTGTTTTGTGTATATTGTAATTTTTTGTTTATAAACTTATTATTTTATATAACTATTAAATTTTTATAATTATTATATTTATATAACTATTTGTAATGATATTTATTTATAATTAGAGAACTAGTATAAATAGCCAAAGTCAAATCTATCACTATGATAAAAGCGTTAAACATAACATAAGAATAGCAATGTCTTCACTTTATGAGTCATAGACTTTACTAAATCAGGGTTAGCCCAGATTATTTAAAAGCCTAATCCCTATCCCATAATATTTATCCCATAAAAAATATTTATATATTACTTATATATTTACTTTAGATTTACCAATACAGTTTCTGGAAGTTATCGGCTACAATCCAATAACAAAATATGTTTACGGAAAAACCTTTCATGATCACATTGTTGAGCTGGACTTTAACAGAAAGATACCAGCTGGAATCATATCAAGTGATAAATGGAATAAAATAAAAAGTGATATCAACTTTCAACTGAAAAACAAATAGAGCATGTATTACATAAAGCCTTCCAAACCCTTTCGCTTCCCCAGGTTGTTAGTGTTTATTATTAATTTTGACCAAAGTTTTTTTCACAGTGCTATATCATTGTTCTGTAAAAACAATTTTTTTTTTACTTCACATGTTCCTTTTCCTTTACTCAATATTAGCAAATATAGCAGTCCATTTAGCAGGGGAAATAAAAACGCCTAATATTAAAAGCTCAAGGTGATAGTATTTGTTAGATATGTTACCATAAAATTATCAACATTCCGTAGCTATGGTACGACAAAACATTTACAAGTTGCTAAAATGTTAGAAGAGTTCGTATAACAATTAACCTAAATTACTGCAAGCATTGTTAATAAAGAATAAACTAACTGTTTTTAATAAACATTGTTTGGCAATTTATTGTTGCTTTTTTGAAAATAACTTGTTTAAAATAACTTTTTTGTTTACTACTTAGCCAAAAGTGTTTACAGAAGACTTTCTTGGATTACAATTTTTAGTTTTAGCAGTAAATAACATATTTTATAAATATAATATAAATGTAAAAAGCTTCAGTTAAAAAATTTTTTCACTCTAAAATGTGAAATACTTTAAATATTCGGAGTTTAAGTTTTTTAAATAAATAATACAGTTGAGGAAACAAATTATAAATTGGATTAGCAAGATCAAGTTTTATTCATTTTTATCATGAACGACCAACCAGTGCTTTTTATTATTATATTTTTTTAATTATAATTAAAAGAATTTAAAAAATAATTATTAATTAAAAGAAACAAAAACTTTTTTATTATTTTTACGTAATTGTTACTATTATTATTGTTATCATTGTTATTATTGCTATTATTACTATATTTAAACTTGAAAATCTGAACTTTAATATTTCTTAAGTTTTTATTAAGAGTAAAAACAGAAACATAATAAAGTTCATTTATAATCTAAAGTTTGTTAGTTGTAAAAACAAGTGGTTTGAACCCTCAAGGGATTTTAAAACACGTTCAAAATACAAATGTTTTCACACTTTAATAGTTTATTTTGAAGTATAATATTTTAAAGTGACCGAAGAATTAATTCAATTTAGATTATTCATTAAATTATAAGAGTTCAGCTGTATATGTCTAATATAAAATAGAAGTAAGGAACTTGTTGTACGGAATGTTATTAGTGAATACATAATTAATAACTATTAATTTCATATATAACTCGGGTAAACAAAAATAATTTTGTGCTGGATACGATTGCGATGCTGATTTTAAAATTGCAAGTTGATTTTTTGTAGGAAGTATAGTTTTTGTTAAGAATGATTTTTATTTTAGAGTTTTTTTTTATTATTTGTTAATATTATAATTGGATAGAAATATCGACATAATCTTTCATCTATTCTTTACATATATACTAGTTTAACTGGTTTTTCTGCAAAGTTTTTAGTTTAGACTTTATGTGAAGTTTTATACAAATACAATATAAGATACATAAGCTAAAACGCATTATTTTATTATAATATTAACTGTAGTATTATTTACAGTTTTTATGATAAAAGCATATTTGCTAACACAGAGGTTTATCTTGGTTGCCACCTAGATGCCAAAAATAAACCATGGGCAAGCATTTAACATGCACTGCTTGTTTAAAAAGTTACGCCGTAGGAAACAAAAATAAATCTTCGATGCCGTTTGCCAAACCATGATGTTGAGGAAGACGAAAGATTATAACGTATCAGATAGTTAGGCCAACAAAAATCTCGAACAACAAAGTTTTTCTACAAAGAGAACATCTCCTAAAAAGTGGAACTCATTTTCAGATAACCTACTGAGGTGTAAATTATTTCCAACCGATTATAGTCTTTTTTACTTTCAAAACAATTATGAAGTTTTTTGACCGATTTTATTTCCGACCTATTTTATAGATTTTTGTTTTCATCCGATTAGAAGTAAATTAATATTCAGATTTTATGGTCTGTGTTTTTAACGTTGTTTTTTTTTAAATACTAAATTTATTATTTGTAAATTAACAATCAATAAGTTATACAAGCATCTATCAAACATTCTACTTTCCGACAACTATTTTGCCAAGGCTGATCAAATTTGGCTTCTTTCAAGTCAATAACAAAATATACAAAACACATACAACAAAGGCGAAGTTTTAAAACTGAAAATACAGTAGGTTAAATATTCAGTAGGTTGAAATTTCAGTAGGTCAAAAATACCATAGGTCAACGAATTAATACGTTGGAAAATTAATAGTATATGTTTTAGTTAGGTGTAAATATAAAAATAGAATGTTGTGGGTTGAAAATAAAAAACGTCATAACCTGCGACTTACGGAATTTCAAAATTAGTTTGAGTTAAATTCCACCGATCATAATTCCGATTGACATACTTGGAAGATTCAATATGACAGCATTTTCTGCAAGGTACAAACACGATATTGCTTATCAAGTATTGGATTGATAACGGATGCCAGTGAATCTTGGGAAACAAATGTCTATTTTAATTTCCCCAGATGATGGTTTTGATTCCCTCTAAGATGATGTGAATAATGATGAAGATGCAAATGGTAACGTTCCCGGATTGTATGCAGATCCTGATTACATTAGAAGATAAAAATTTTGAGCCAAAGCTATTAACTCAAGAACAATTAAATGATCTTGTGAGAGACCTATCACTGTCTTATAAGAAGCAGAGCTTTTTGCCGCATCACTACAGGAGAACAATTCTTGACAAAAAAGGTTGTATCAGGTACTACTGAAAGCGAATTATTAAATTAGCAACATACTTTAAAGTAGATGGCTCTAATTGTTATTGCCATGATATAGATAGTCTGTTTACAGATTTAGTTTAGACGTTTACAGCATCTTACTGACTTAGTCGGTACGTTGAAGAAACGTTTGAAAGCAATAAATTTAAATAACAGAATTGTCAAGCCATGCATTATTATTGTTCATTATGTGCATCTAGAAGAGGTATGTGACATTATGGATAAACTACTTAATGCAATCAAGTACAAAAGTCGTTATGGAACACCTACGGAGATCTTAAAGTTATCGGTATATTAATGGGTATGCAAGCAGGATTTACAAAATTTATTGTTTTGCTTGTAGGGCAGTTGTGCTACAATAAAATACTACTGCAAACTTGAATTGGCACTAAAGTTGATAGATGTCCAAGATTCAAGCAGTTTCCAGTAAGTCATTTTAGTTGGTCCGCAAATGATCATCATTATCCACATTAAATTTATAGTTCTCAAAGAAATCCTAACGGTCTTATCAAAGAGCGGAAAGACTGCCTAAGAGAAGTTTTACTAAGAAGTTCACGCCTCCTACCTTACCAACGTCACTAATCTGGCACAAGCCGGTATTGAACCATGGACAAAAGAAAAACCAAAGTTCAATTTTTAGACAATAAAACTATTCACATATTAGAATGCTTACTTGTTGATTCAATAAAAAATGATACAAATTTATTTAACAATACAAAAAAAAAGAAAATATACAAAAAAAAAAACTACCAAAAAAGAACATATAGTTTTAGTACAGGAACCTGGCTCAAAATATCTGGGACAATTAGTAACTGCGTCAGGACACGGATACTGTAAGTATAAGCATATTTTTAACTCAAAACAATATTTTTACATCTAAACAAGTTGCCTTGCGTTGTGACGGAGCAACTATCAATACCGGATTTCTAAATTGAGCTGTTGCTTTATTTAAATTTGAATGAAAGAGACCGATTAAATAGTTTTCTTTTTGAATATATGCTAATGAAGTGTCTCTAAAACATCAAATTCAAAAGCTCAAAGGATAAATGTCAAGATCAAACTGATGGTCTGGACCAAACATAAATGAAACTAAATTTTGTGATTTTCATCAGGTAAATACGTTCCTGTCAGAATTACGTTGCCAAAGTTATGCAAAAAGTCATTTAGCTCTGACCAATACTTAATTGACATTTGCGCGGAAGTATAGACAGGATCTTGTTTTTCCTAAATAGTAAACCAGGAGCAATTATTTCCTAGTAAATAAGTACTCCACCCAGTGCTTTTAGGCTAGTAAATAAGTACTCTCTTTAGGAAAAAAGTACTCCCGATTAGAATTTTTGTTCCGAAAATTTAAACTTTGTAAAATAACGATCGATTTTACATTTTATAATTTTGCTTATGGTTAACTGAATATTCGATAGTATTTATGGTTAACTGAAAATACCTAATAGTATTTGAAATGCAGGTAATAAGTTGTAGTAAATCGATATACGGACAACATTATTTTATTGTATATTTTATTCATTGAACTTATCTTTTATAACAAATAGCTAACAATTTTACAACATCAATATTTTATACTTTTTTTAAAAATAAAATTATACGACATATTGATTTTATAACAATAGAAAACTATGTAAAGGAAAAAATTTACAATCGAAAAGCTTGCAAACATTTAAGTATTGTATGTGGCCGATTAATGCACCACAGCGAAAAGTTAGTCATTGCATGTAAAGATCAGCAGCAAAAGATAATATCTGACACTCATTCTGGTCTTAGTGAAGATGCAAAAGTAAAAGCAATGGTCTCACATCGTGGAAAAGATACAACATATCAAAAAGTTTCTAACAGGTTCTATTGGCATAATAATAAATTCGATGTTGAAGAATTTAATAAAAAATGTATGCAATGTCAAAAGCATTGTAAAATTAAAAGCGTCTTTATAGAACTTCATTCTATACCAGTTTAAAGTAAGGCCATGGAACAAGTTGGTATTGATATTTGTAACTTGCCAGAAGTTGATGGTTTTAAACATTTAGTTGTCTGTATAGACTATTTTACAAAATGGTCAGAGGCAAAGCCTTATAAAAATAAAACAGCTGAATTAATAGCATTCTTTAAATATGAAGAAATCTGTCGACATGTGTGCATTAAAATTCAAATTAATAATCAAGGAATAGATTTTGTGAATGAAGTTAGCAAAAATCTGCATAGAATGACAGGAACTGAACAAAGAGTAACTTCTGCTTATCATCCCCAATCTAATGGACTTTATAAACGTTAGAATAGAGCTATAAAAGAAGCATTAGTTAATAATCTTGATGAAACAGCTGCTGAATGGCCTTATATTATTGAAGAAGTTTTATTTGCACATCGTGTTAGTAAACACGCTTCAACTCAGTATTTTCCTTTTTTTTGTTATATAACCGAAAACCAACTTTACTTGTAGATATTAAATATGGGTTGGTTGATATTAAGGAACATGAAATGGAACCTTATAATAGAGAAATTTTTAATGCAGTTTTTGTCTCATCTATTACTTTAAGAAAAGAAGTTTACAAAAGTGCATACAAGAATATTCAAACTGCTCAAAATAAACGGCGCAAAAACTACAATTAAAGTCATCAAGTATATCTTTTGAAAAGAGTTGGTCAAAAAGTCCTTTTAAAAAATCAAAAGAATGGATAGAATAGAAGGAAAATTGATAAAATGTTGAATTCTTGTGTTAAAACTAAAGAGTACATTACAAGTTTATGGTTCATGTTATCTGATGAAGTTTTTAAATTGATATTGACAAATGCAGT